TTTCGTTTTTCGTTTTCGTATGGAATTTGGAAAATGGATTACGATTCGTTTTTGGTTTTTTGTTTTCGGTTTATGGCATTGAAACTGACAATCTTTGTTTAAGCGGGAAAATTTAGGAAATTAAGATGGCGGCGTTAGAAAATGTCGTAGATAAAGACTTTGCCTGCCGGTTTCTTATCGAAAAGAAACATACTTACGAGGAGCTTGTCACTGAAATCAAGGCTTGATATCCGAATCTAAAGGGCTGTAGTTCACGAAGCGTAAAAAAGTTTTGTGCAGATAGACTTGCGTGACTTACAAAGTAAACAAAGGTGATCGGAAGGTGCCTTCTCGATAATTTTCGATGAAATATCAAGTCAATCTGCGCAAAACCACTGTGGTCCATAACAGCGTAAAATCATTAATCATTGAAATAAAATTTTAGAAAGGAGGGCTAGTTCATCGCATTCCGTGTGCAAAATCTCGGTAGAAATTATAAGAATTCTTTCAGAGTGTATGCATGTTGTTTTGTAAAGAACACTGTAACGTATTTCAACTTGTTTGTGTGTCCTTTTAAGCCACGCGATATGTCTGTAATGACTAGAGTGCCAAACGCTATTCTTTAATCTTGATCTTCTCCACACTGTGCGTAATTCATGACCTGATATTTCAACGAAGATTATCGAGAAGGCGCCTTCCGATCACCTTTGATTACTTTGTAAGTCAGGCAAGCGCGCAAGCGTTACAACCGATCACGTTTACGCAACGTTTTAGGACATCTATTCTCAATTCAGTTGTTAAGAAAACCTGAAATCATAAGATGATCCTCAACGTAGAAGATAAACAAACGAAGTTTGAACGGTCAAAAGGAGATCTTCGTCGAGTTTTAGAATTATACAAATTATCAATGACGCGAGCGCAATTTGGCAAACACATGGATTTGCGTTGTTTTTAAGATGTTGGTGGATGAAAGCTACAAATATACCCGCGGGTTTAAGGCAATCGGTGACCTCATTGGTGTATAAGCTATACACTGATATGCTTTTTTAGCCCGATTTACGCCTGAATTTTGAGAATTCTTTCGTACAAATTAGTGAGTTTTGATATGCAAATTAAGATCAGAGAAGGCTCTCCTCTGATCACGCTTGTATGAAAAATATTTCAGCTGAATTTTCCATATTTTGTCTGTGAACAAAATGAAGGCACCTTGTAACTTGTAGCAAGATAGAATTCCGTGAGCTATATTATAGCAGTCGCTGCGCGCTGGGCAAAATCTGAAATTTACACTTTCGATCGCTGTCCACACGGGTGGTCTAACCAAAAATCAATTTTGGCTTGTGGTGACGTAAAATAAAAGAATTTTAGAACAACTAAACTATCTTTGAAACATGTGCCCTAGACCCTTTTCATGGGCAAAAAATTAAAAAAACTTTTTTCCGACGGGAAGTCGAGAGGAGCGCTCTTAGCGAGAGCGGCACTTAAGCGCTTCATCCGAAACTGGCATTCTTTTCCTTATTCCCTGGTGATCACAGAACCTTTTTACGCTTCGTAAACTGCAGCCCTTTAGATTCGGATATCAAGCCCTGATTTCAGTGACAAGCTCCTCGTAGGTAGGTTTCTTTTCGATAAGTTTTCTAACGCCGCCATCTTAGTTTCCTAAATATTCCCGCTTAAACAAAGATTGTCAGTTTTACTGCCATTGGCCGAAAACGAAAAACGCAAAACGACTTGTACTCCGTTTTCAAAATTCCATACGAAAACGAAAAACGAAAAAGAAAATTAAAATCCGTTTTTTTAAAAGTTACAAAAAAAAAACAAAAAAAAACGGAGAGCATAAGGTGAATTTGAATTCCGTTTCCTTCCCGGCAGAAAAAAAAACGAAAAACGGAAATAAAATTTGTGTTTCATTTTCCTTTACAATTGAACATCGGTTGGCACTAACGTACACGGATTCATTTCGATCCTCATTATTATTCCAGCTGTTAGACGGTAATCCCTCATAGGTCCTCATTGATCAGCTGTTGTGTTGTTTGATCGTGGGTATCAAAGCTTCGAATGTGTTTCAAAGGTTGAGAAGTAGAGGTCCTGCTAATATTATGCTAGGGAAAACTCATCAATGTAGAGCTCTTGAACGTTTGGTTTGAATAACTGCCCCACATATGGGCAAAATTTCTGAATGCTGATTGCTGAATCAGGAGGCATTTGATTACTCGATCCTGATTGGCTGAGCGCGCGTCGTCTGAGTTAATTGCTATTGGTTTCTCTCGTGATCCGGCTTCTGGAAATTTTGCTGATTTATAGTGTCTGTTTATAAGTATCTTGGTGCTTACGAAGCTGAAACAGACCCTTTGTTTACGGATACTATCGATTTAGTATTTCCACCCGGTAGACAGTGGTAAAATTATACAATCGTTAGATAGCTTAGCGAACTCTGCCCTTGTCATGTGCAAACTTTGAGAGTACGCGTGAAATCAATCCTTGATTTTTGATTTTCCTCGGGCCCATAAGGTTTCAAAGGGCTTTTACAAATTTCCTTGCTCTAAAGAGGTTTGACCTTAAAGAGGGGGGTTCTTAGCAATAGGAAATCAGTCGGGTAATCTGCAAAAAATTCTCCTATTCAAATGAATGCGTTTTCCCACATGCTCTGACAAACAGTCAAGACTAATTGACATCACGTTTCAAATTCATTCATGCCATTTCGAAGTCAGTTGGCCCAGTTTTATAATTCCTAACCCAAAGAGTATAATAGGTCCTCTTAAGGTTTCGTGGTAATTTTTGCTTTTTTCATTTTGTGCACATCAAATTCAACTTTTCCACTGAAATTATTTCGTTGAGGCATATTTTTCGGCTTTGTTACTGTTCTGTTTTACACTAGCCAAGATAAGTGAAACCACCTATGCATCGACCTGTTCCCGTTTAATGCAAAGCATATTTCGTCTTCAACCTAATAACTTTCCCATCCTGTTTCCTTTAGATGCTTGGGTGCCTTCCTCGGAGGAAATGCCAGAAATAACTTGTGGAAAACCCACTAAACAAAAACCGTGCTCTTTGGAAGACCTTCACAAGAGTGGAGGCTTTGGATCTACTATTTCACGTTTCAATCAGGAGAGAAATGAGCAATTGCTCTTTCGATTTTGGAGGTATTCTGGTTTAATGTAATTGGTTTCATTCTTAGGTCCCTGAGGAGCTAGAATCAGCTAGTAGCTTGCTTAAAGCAAAGATCGCATACATTACAACAGAGCGAGATCAACTCGATATGATGCTTGACGCGTGCTTTGTTATTTAAATCAGCGAAATGATGTTACTAGCTCGTATGAGTCAACATAAAAACAGAAATCGCAGGTGTCATTTGGTAGACGAATTAAAAAATATACCGCAAAATAAAAACACCAAACAAACAAACGAAAACCTCAAAGACTGAAAAGAAAACCAAAAAAAAAAAAAAACCGAATCAAATAAACAAACCCAAAGGCTGCCCGGCTATTTTTTGTTAACCGATGATGCAAGGACGAACCAAGAAGATCTTAGGATCTAAGAGTAGCTTAAGAGTCCTCTAATTGCTGAGACTTGACATCAGTAAGTTTGCTAAGGGAGAAAATCTGTCAGGAAAACTCTGTGGAACGCGAAGCGATGGAAGATTGTAAAGTAAAGTTCATTGAATCAGTTCAAGGAATTTACGCCCTTGGTGGACAGAGCAAAATGTCTAGATAGGTGAGTAAATAAGCATGGAACAAAATAAGCAGACTCTTTTATGTTATGGTGGTAAAAGTTTATTAATCATGTCAGCGATTTAAGGACAGACAAAGATCTTAGAATCTAAGAGTCCTCTTATTGCTGAGACTTATCATGACGAAGGTTGCTAATGAAGGAAATTTCTAAGGAAAACTCTGTGGAACGCGTAACGATGGAAGATTGCAAAGTAAAATTCAATGGATCAGGTAAGACAATTTACGCTCTTGATGGACAGAGGAAAACGTCGAAATGATTAATGTATAATATTCGGAGCAAAACAAGCAGACTCTTATGTTACGGTGGTAAAAGTTTACTAATCACGTCAGCGAAAAAACTCAATTTTGAGGTAACAAGATTATATGTATATGATAGCAGAGTTGTAGTTTATTAAAGGATTTGACCCCATGATCGCTTGGTGAACCATATGTGAAACTTATTTTATAAGTGTATATATTTTAAATGTTTTGCGCATCATGGACTACTTTGACCCCTTTTTGACTTAAAAGTGATGATTCATATTGACAAGATACAATATCGTTCGTTTGGTCTCTTATTTGAGAACGTCGGAGTTCCCCTCATTTATACGAATGCTTAAAAGTACATACCACTATTTTTTTGTTAAGAGATTCTTCCAAAATATGGTTCTCGGAATCGATTTGTACAATTAGAAATTGCTTAGATATGTACTTAAGTAGAGTTTATATACATTTTCGATGCCTATGGAAGATTTCCAAATGAAATAAAGAAAAATAGAATTTTAAAAAAGATCGAAGCAAGTAAAAAAAATAAAAATCAAAATGAAAAATTAAAATAAGAAAATATAGCTATAAATTTGTTACTCATAAAAATTACGATTTCCTCGATTGAAATTGGTTTAAAAAAACTCATATCATCCACTAATTCACTTGCCAAGTTCTTATCAAACAGTTTGTTATCGAACAGTTCAATAAGCCAATCACATTCAAGGTTGTAGTTTAAATCAACTAATCACAACCATTAAACAATCTACGCCTCCTTTGTCAGTCTTTTAGCGAAAATTTTCCCTTTCTTTCATAACCTGGCTATTCTTATTTTCTCGGAAATTGTAATTCTTAAGAAAAATCGGTAATAAGACTTCGTTCGTCCAATTCGATTAACAACTCGTATGATTACATACCAAATTGGACTCCGGTCAGTCCATAGCCTTTACTTATAGAAAGAAGTCATTTGAATATGATAACAGAAACTTGCAAAAAACACAACCACAACAACGACAACAAATCCACAACATTTTGCAAAAACTGATATTTAAGCCATTACACATGTACTTAAGAGATGTATCAAACTATGTGCCTAATTGAACTTGATGAAATGGAGTCTGGTTAATGACGTTAATCACTTGGTTTGGGAAATAACTTGACCTCTAACCTTCACACGTACAATTTTCCGCCGTGCAATTTCTTTGGTTTCCGACGACTTTTTCGGACAAGCCATCTTACTCTTTACTGACGAATGCTTCCCAGTGACTTTAGTTCTACTTTTGCTTAGTTCATCGTCTAAAATGTAAAACGTAAACATTAATCAGATGGAGGGCGCGCCCTTGGGCAAGCACAACTAGTTTGACATGAGGAAGAACGAAAAACAAAGACGAAGAGGTGCGAGATTCCAAGGTAGATGGGCAGACACAGTCAAATTTACAAAATAGCGGAGACATCAAAATAATGTTAAACAGACTTGCAGAAATGACAGGCTGACAGACAAACATTATGGAAGATTGAGAGACTGAGGCAGCGAGAGAATAGAAGACTGACTAATTGATCAGACTGACGGGCCAATAACCTTGCAGATTGGCAAAATGGCATAGTTAGAGAGTGAGCGAATAAGAGAGTGGGAGAGTGGGGGAGAGAGGGAGAGGGAGAAGGGGGAAGAGAGAGTGAGAGAGTAAGAGAGTGACAGAGTGACAGAGTGACAGAGTGACAGAGTGACAGAGTGACAGAGTGACAGAGTGACAGAGTGACATGGTGACAGAGTGACAGAGTGACAGAGTAACAGAGTGACGGAATGACAGTGTGACAGAATGATAGTGTGACAAAGTGACGGAGTGACAGAGTAAAAGAGGGACAGAGTGACAGAGTTACAGAATGACGGAGTGACAGAATAACGAAGTAACATAGTGACAAAGTGAAAGAATGACAGAGTGACAGAATGACAGAGTAACAGTGTGACGGAGTGATCGAATGGCAGATATGCAGACTGAGAGACATACAAAGTGGGGCGACTGAAAAACTGTCTGCCGGTATTGCTGAAGTTCTTATTCTTATTTGACAAAATTTGAAGTTTTATTTTCGTGGAGAAAAACCATTTCTTTCGATAAGGGTATTTAGATTAACTTGAAAAACGTAAATAGGGGGACCTACCTTTGAAATCAAAGTATGTCTTCAAATCAAAAATGCTTTCCTCGAGATCTATGAGTAGTTGAAGAAACAATAAACATAGTAAGACTGAAATAAGATCATGTAAAATAAAGAAATATTTCACTAAGTAAGTACAGGACATCTAGGTTGTTCGTAAAATGATAATACTGTTAGAAATCAGCACTCTACGCACGATCAATTTGGCTTCAGCTGGCTACCACTTATTTTTCTGTTTCGGAGGTAGAAGTCACGGATAATATGCTTACCAGGTCCCTTGGAATGCAACTGAACTAACAGAAATCCAATCTTTTTCTCATACTTAACGCAAGTGTTTAAAAGTTACATACCATAGATGCGTTCCTCATTTTCATCCTCGTCAGGCGAAGACTCCTCATCTTCTTTAACCCTTTTAGATCTCTTGTGTGGCGATGATTCCATTTTTAACTCTTGAAGGGCACTGATCCATTTCCTGCAAGTCTCCAGTGCTGCTATTTTCACACGATTGTCTTTGTGGGGACCAGAGACAAGTTCTGGAGGCTTTATCGAGGTACAAGCTTCTTCCTCGTGGCCAGGATTTTTATTGCTCTTTGGATACCAATACCAATGACTCGCGGCCTTTAATTCAGCTTGAAAGTTGTATTCATCAGGTGTGGTTGGGTAATGGTCTTTCATGTACACCAAAACGGCTCTTACGAGTGTGCTAAAATCCATGCGAGACATTCCACCGTCACAAGTTTTGAGTTTTATCTCTTTCCAATCCAGTGATTCCAGTTGTTCCCTCAATTGTTCTATACTTTCACACTGCAATTTTTAGATGGAAAATAAAAGAGTTTGGAACATAACCGTAATTTAGTTTTCTCAACTGGGTTATTAACGGAAATTGGCCACTGTAAAGAGTTTCAAAGCTGACTATTCGAGCGTTAGTCCTTTTTCAGAGCGAACAGCTTTTCATTGGAACAGAATGGATCTAGTAAAAAGTAAGACAATTGTGCAGTTGAGAAGAAGAGAAGAGATTTTACGGATTCACATAGAATTGTGCCCTCTCTGCACTGTGAGGATCAGAGTATAGGGGGCATAATGATGAGGAATCATTCCTAATCTATGCTACAATTTATGCTACCACTTTCAAGAAAAAGATAGAAATCATCAGATCCCTCTTAATGTACTTACAAAAAACAGATTGTTAGCCCGCGAAGGGGTGGTAAACATTATCTGACGATTATTACTAAGTCTCAGGTGATTGACCATTTTAGTATAATTTGAGAGCTGAACAAAAATTTGAAATTGAGCTCGCTGCAAATTGAGAATTTTGTGTTTAGTAGAGGAGAGTGCAGGTAAAAATTTCTCGTATGCCGCCCTCTTAGATAACCGTTTTTTTAGGCACTCAGCTGTGTCAAGTGTACTCAAATGAGTTGTTAGAGTAACTTTAGCGGAAATTTGTCGTCAAAATTGTCCATGTCCCTTTTTTGCAACATGATATAACATTACAAAGCAGGTATATTATTTTTATACAGAATGTCAAGGAGGTGCTGAGGCCTCTATACAACTCACTTCAGCAAGGCATATTCCACTGTACTTGGAGTGGTTTTTCACCTTTACCTCATCAAAGTCACTCGGCCAAATATCGGCTTTGAACAGACGAACAGTGGTTTTTCCTCTTTGATCGAGAGGAAAGTACAGATTAGGCTCGGTAACCATCCAGACATCATGTGGTTGTTGGACGGCCCCATTCTTTTCTGGAATAAAACCTAACGTTATTTCACATAAGAAGGGTCTCTTTAAGCGGGAGGAGAGATGGCTTTGACGGTTAATTTGTGCGATTTTATATCAATTCTTTTTTGTATTTTACACCATTCTTCTATAATCTTTAATTTCAGGAAGTGGAGAGTTGCCATAAGGACGGGATTTCTGGAAATTTCTAGAAGCTTGGCAAGGGTCTAGCATCAACAGTTGATGTTCTCTTGTTTTTCATTATTATGAAAATCTCTGTTTACGATAATTATTTCCTTTCAGGAAAGCATGGATGGCTTCAATCCTTTACCATGTACGTGCAACTGATTTTGGTGATCATGTACATGTGTACTCGTAAAGTCATTGGGTCTCATCGTTCCTTGCTCAAGCTTTTTCATGTAAACGTTTTTGCAAACGAGTCTATAAATTCCCGTCAAAGCAGTTGGAGTCGCTTCAAAACAATAATTGGACTAACTGGTGTCCTAATATTAATTCGGTTCAACGTTATCTATCTGAATCCCCGTGGTTTGCTTTCAGCTATCGTTCTGCTACCATCTATGAAGCAAGCACGTCAAAGCATTGATTACTTTCTATGCACAGATATATATTTACATGCGTATCATCACTGCCCTGACCATTATCATACCTCGTTCGCTGTGGTCACTAGAAAACGAAAACGAAGGCCCATCCTTTGTTCCTGCCCTGAAAACAGTGAGCTTCTCGTCCATTACGACTGAGGAAGACCTTTCGAGCAAATAAATACGCTAAGGTATAATTGATTTGGAAACTGACCTCTAAGCCTTAAGGATACGGTACACCTACGAAGACTGATATTTTTGAAATCTTTTAAACATAGTTTTAAATATAATTGCCTAAAAAACTTTTGTATAATATTTAAACGCGTAAGAGTTAGTCACAAAAAAGTATTTTCGAACTGAACCCTTAAAGTGGAAAAAAAGAGTTGAAATCAAAGTTGCCGTTAAGCAAAATGACACCAAAGGTCTGTCACGGGTACCTGTTAGATAGTTACCCGCAAAATATGTTCTTGCTGAGAGAAATTTGGTCCTAGGACTCCAAAGATACCAACCTAAAAAATCATTGTGGGGAAACTTAACAGATAAATTGCAAAGCAACCAATAAGAATATAAAAAAAGTCCACTCAAGGCTTTGAAGACCAACCCTTCAGGATCAAAATTGCACAGAAGTTTTATTTGTGCGGTCAGATTTGATATGCAGTTCATTCGCCCAAAGAAACATCGTCCATTTCTAATTGTCGCGCTCCACTCGGTTTACAATTAGAGAAGCTGAAACGAAATAATTATTTTTGCAGAAGACACCCGCAAAGGTCAACCGTATTTTGTTTACAGCTAACAATACTTAGATTTCAAAACGCAAAACGAGTCATGGCTGAAAAATGAAGACTTAAATTCTTGATTTCAAGTGAGGTTTTGCCACTTTCGGACCATTCTTCGGATCGGTAAATTTTTTTATTATTTCTGAGGTTGATTTTTCCGTATAGACCGTTAAGTATTGTTCAACTGAAGATTTTTTTCTAAATCGTGCAGCTTTCTGGATTTTTTTTTTAACCGAACACCACGCATATTCAACAAGGTGAATCAATATAGCAAATACAAATACTGCCATATAGCAATGTAGCAAATACAGTGCCATGTAGCAAATTTAGCTCTTCTTATAATAAATCTCTAGTCTTGAAATATTTCTCTGTCAATTCAGGTCCAGTTTGGGTAATTATATATTTCTGCTACACATTTTATCATAGCCTCGCAAATCCAACTTATCAGTCTTAAAGCGAAGACTGCAAAACAGGATGTCAGAAAATCTTAAAAGGAATCCTGAAGAGTTGTGGCAGCTGGACGAGCACAGTCCTTTTCCAGACGAAGTAGAAATAGTTGTGCCTGATGATCGTCCTTTCAAAGGATACATTAAGCCACAGGGAGACCAATACCCCTTTTTCAAAGGACAATATTGTTGAGGTAAATACCATGTTTTTGATTGCTTATTTAAAAAATCCGTTTCAAAGGGAACTAGGTATGTATAAAACTGCAATTTTTTCCGAAAATGATTTTACATACAGCTCAGAGCAGTTTTAGTTTTGAGAATTTAAGGTGACTCATTACCTACAGATTTGTTCAGAACTTAGCAGGAAATGAATACTGTTGCCATGGTAATCTAGTATGTCCTAAAAAGTATGAAAATATCAAAGTTATCAAATACTTCGTCTATTTAATAATTTTCACGTCAGAAATTCCGTAAACTCAGATAAGTTTATGACGTTTAAGCCTCTCTCCTATAATGTTTTGCACTAGCTAAGATACGATAACACACACATGCTTGTGGTCCCGTCCAAAGTAAAGCATAACAACTCATCTGGTGACACTAAACTACAGATCAGTGGACCGGGGAACCTCCAGTACCAGCGGAACATGCGGAATCGTTAATTTTCAGTTTAAAAAAGTGAATAAACAAATCAATGAAATTAACCTTCTTTATACCCGAAAATGAAATTTTGAACATCGTTAAGGTGCTTTTAGTCTCTATTTTATTTCATTAAATATATGTATATTTTTTTGACAAAAAAATTTATGGTTCAGTTTAATAACACCCCGACTCATCTTCAACTCTATTACTTTCCAATTTTATTTCCTCCAGATGCTGAGCTGCCTTCCTTAAAAGAAATACCCTGAATAACTAAGGGCTAGCCTCAAACCAAAAGAAACCGCACAAGAGAAGTATAATTAGATCTTCGTTGTCAAGGTAGACATAAGCAGTTTTCTTCTTTCTGGACAAAGAACTATCGCTTAGATGTACAAAAATAAAAAGGATATGTAAATGTTGATCTACTTAAATTAAAAGAAGGACTGTAGTGTTACGACTGGTAGTATTGTCGACCGCACTTCATTTTGACCTGAGGCTGAGGGAGCTTACGTTTGTTCTTGATTTCACAATTGCAAGAAAAAGTGAATATAAATATCTTGAGATCAAGGAAACAAAGCTTTTTTTGATTTCACTTTTGGACAAAGCCGAGCAACACACGATTTCCTTTAGATTATAAAGGATAGACATCTTTGTCTCTGCCTTCATGATCAATTTGAAATTGGTGTACATATTTCTGTAATATTTCTGTGAATGCTTTGGATATACTCAATAAACGCTCGGTGTCGCGCTCATTTAAATATTGCTGAAATTTCCTCAGTCGGGAAAATTCGTCACGGTAACCACTAAACGTCCTTATCCACCTGTCCACCGTCAGGTTGGGTTGTTCGATTGTTCACAATTCATTAAACAAGATGATTATCTGGTTTGCCTCCTGAATTCAAAAGTCTGTTTGAATTGTTATTCCTCCCTCTATCTGAAATATGCAAATGTTTTTTCATAACATTAATGGCATATACGTTAAAAACTAGAATTGTCGATGTCAAATTAATTGCATAAAGACTCATTGTTAACCTGCTCCGCCCCAGCCCTCCGTGATACACTCCTGCACCGGATTTCAAAGTCATTATAGTTCAGTCGTCGATTTCAAGTTTGCTCTCTACCAACAGTTTATAATCTCTGGCTCTTTTCTCAAAAACTATCAAAAAAGCAGATAAAAATTGCAATAAAGTGAATTTCACGTCAGACGAAAGATTAATGCATTCAGCTTTAAGGATTGCTTCAGTGAGATTACACAATTGTGTTACATGCTTTAGATTTGTCGCTTGATTTGACGCTCAGACACTTTTATGATACTAATACTAATACTTATACTGATAATAATGATAATAATACCAATGATAGTAATAATAATGATAATTTTTTTTATTATCATTATTATTTTTAAAAAATGAATTTTATTTGTCAATTAAGAACGGCAAAGACATAATCGTTAAAAGACAGTGCAGAGAGAACAAATGAGAAAATGTTGTTTTCGAAATTCCGAGTTGTTCGAATCACAACAAAATTGATGATTAATATTCAGCTGCGTTGTTGACGGTTAACGTTTAAATACTGAGCTGTTTGGCGGATGACCCTATTGAGACCCTCACTGTCAGTGTCGTTTGACGGCCAGTGCTTAGAATAATTAGCGAGCCGTTCAGATTGTGGTTTTCCATTAGACGAGGGCATGGAAAGTAGAGAGGAGAATTGAATATTTTTGCCGTTTGGCACAAAATCCGCTCTCAGCAACGGCACTCTGGCTGTAATGTATTCAACAGAATTTCACACGTGCTAGAAAGAAGTTCGCTCACGATGGTTCAGTAATATCTGACTGAATACTTTTGCATAAGTCTGACTTTATTCCAAAATCTAGGATCTTTCTATTCTATGGAATGGTCACAAAGGTTGCATTTATCAGCTAAAGAAATCTACACCCATATACGTAATTCCGTGGGAGAATCAACGCTCGCTCACGTTTTACAATGATTCGTGAGCATTAATTTCCTATCAAAGGTGGGTTTATTAGAGAGTAAAATAATCATGCTTCTAAATCGAAATACGTGATTAGATACATTGCTAGTAATGTTTGCAAAGCTACGTTTGATTATCCTATGCCACAACGTTTCCTGTTTCATTTTTACAAATCCATTTTAGCGATGACAAAAAAACCGACTTACTTGATAAATAATTAAAAATATGAGAAGACAAAGAAATCAAATTTGAGCGAGGAAACGCTCCACAACAAGATTTCATTTAAGAAGTGTTTGTTCTCAGAGAATGACTCATCTTCATTTTTTACGTATCTTTAACTTGATCTTCTTTGTATCTCATCTTGTTCCCTTAAATTTGAACTTTTTGTTTACCAGAGAAACCCATCAAATAAACAATCCTTTGGGTAGACCGGTAAATTTTTTTAGCAGAAGATATAAGGCCGGAGAAAAAGGATCTAAGAGTCTGAGAGACCTCTTTACTCAGCCGAAAAATCGCAGGAACTTCGTTAATGAAGAAAATTTGAAAAGAAAACTCTGTGGAACGCGGAACAGCGAAAGTTTGTAAAGATCAAACTCGGTGGATCAGTTAGGGGAAATTATGCCTTTGGTGGACATAGAAACATTTTGCGCTGATGAATATGAAAGATACATAAATAAAAACGAGCAGACTCTTCTTTGTTAACGTGGTAAAAAGTTTAATATTCATGCCAGCGAAAAAATTCAATTCTAAAGAAATAGCATTGATTGTGTACATATTAGCATACATGTAGTTGACTATATATAAAAAAAGTCTACTTGACCATATAAAAGTGAATTTGACCGTATAAAAAGTCTACTTGACCATATAAAAAGTGAATTTGACTATTTAAAAAGTCTACTTGATCATATAAAAAGAAAACATTTGACCATATAAAAAGTCGAACTGACCATATAAAAAGTGAATTTGACCATTTAAAAAGTCTACTTGACCATATAAAAAGTAAAAATTGACCATATAAAAAGTCGACTTGACCATATAAAAAGTAAAATTATTAAAAGTTAAAAGTTGACCATATAAAAACTCGAGTTGACGATATAAAAATTTAAAAGTTGACCGCATAAAAAGTCGCACTGACCATATAAAAATAAACTGGGTCACAGACTGAAATACAGGGGGAATATTGACTGGTTTGGCGTCCCATATAAAATGACAACGTTAAATTAAGGGGGTCTAAGGGTTTTTTTTGACCTCTTTTGACCTAGAAGTGGTAATTCATAGTGACAAGATACAATTTCGTCGCTATGCTCTCTTACCAGAGAGA